CTGTGCTTCCTTTTTTGAAAGAAGTGATTTACTGGAAAATAAGGTGAGGAGAAAGACAGTAAAACACAGGTATAATAGATATTGAGTAGGTGGTCTGTAAACCAAGTTGTAAACTGCCAAGTTGTAAACTGATGCCATATTTATATAATGCTGAGACAAGAGGACCAAGAAAAAAGAAAAGAAAACAAGGGACAGTGAAAATTTGAACAGTGTGAAAAGCAAGCGAGGAAACTTGTCAGGTTCTTAACAAATACATATACAGTTTAAGATGAATTTATCCTGTACAAGAGAATCAATATGAAAATTAGAAGCACTTGATCATGTTCAATACAAAGGTTTTTGAATGCCAGTGCTCCACTTGATTGAAGTCAGGCTCTCTGATCTGGTTACAAGCCCTTAGCAGTGGTCCCAAATCTGGGAGAATTACTCAAGAGTTCTGCTATTCAGGGCCCAAGAAGGGGCAACTGCAGTATTGAGAACTGCAATATTTATATACTCTGTTTTTGTTACATAAATAATGGCCATCTGAGAGACACAGCAAAACTAGGATTATAGGAGGTGAGAGGTAAAATAAGACATCTGTAGCCTCCTGTAATCAATAAAGAAGGGCTCTTGAGTAAGGTCTTTCTACAAATCATTCCTAGGTGTGGATTAAAACCCTTCAGTTTTACAGAAATAGATATAGAATAAAATTAGATTTCCAGTTTCCAGCTTGAAACAGTCCAAACTCTTGGAGCAGTCATCTGGCCAAGCATTTTTTGGTCTTTGCTTGCTCTTCCTTTACTTCCTTTGTCACTGCTAGGAATCGCCCTGAGGGTTTCATAGGATTTGCTACTTTGACTTGGTTCTTTTTTTATTACAGTAGTTGATGACACTTTATTGGTAGTGTGTCAGTGTAAATGTTCATTCTGGTGTAGTGATGCACACAGGAACAAACATTTGAGGCTTGTAATATACTCACAAAATAACGGAAACACAGCCCTAAATCGCATACTATGTAAAATGGGTTTAGTGCAGTTGCTTTTCCTTTTCCTAAAATTGGTATGAGCTGGACATTCTGCGCATGGAAGAGAGTGTGTGTAAAGAGGATTAACACCCTGTTCCCCATACATGATGATAGTCCCATCAACAGGCCTTTAGGTGCTCACACTAAAAAATAAAAAAATAAAAATAAAAACAAGAAAGATGATTGCCTGAGACTCATTCTATGTTTTGTATAATTCCTTTCTGAAGGATCTCTGGAGACAGATCCAGAATTATATCATGCTGTAACTTATTCACAAATACAAGAAGGAAGGGTTAAGAATAAAGGGATGTGCCAAATAATAATTACTGTCAGGAAAAGCATATTAAAAAAACCCAAGATCTTTAAAAATTCTGATACAATGGATTGCATTAGGAAAAAGAGGAATATACTGGCAAGTTTCAGAGGAATGGCTTGGCAGAATCTAGGAATAAGTCACACTAACTGCAATATACAACCTTTTCAAAATAACTTTCAAGAGAAATAAACAGTTAAAGGGAAATAAAAACAGCTCTGAAATTTTATTTTAGCTTTTTTCTCCAAATGACTGTGATTGCCAGAACTCTCTTCAATCTCTAGCTGTATACTAGAGTCATCAGGAACAAAGTTATACTCCTCTCCTTTCTAAAGAAAGCTTGTTTTTCATTGGTCTGTTTGAAATGATACACTTCATATCGTAGCATCCATCCAAACCTCTAACATGGCTTGCAAGTTATTGGGAAAAGCTCCCTTTAGTTTATATAAAGCCTGTCTATCTCTAAAGTAGCCCACTTCATGGTTTTTGTCCAAAATAAGTGTGTACATATGTGCACTCTTGACCACACACATACATTCATATTTGCTTCAGTTGTGCTTGAGATGAAACCAAAGGTGTGATGTCCCTTTTTTTATATCCAAGTTGTGCTTTAGTGTGGCAGTCACCAAGTGATGAATATGCAAGTGTTATCAGGGCTGTATGCACCAACAAACCACATATTGTTTCTGTAGATGCCATATATTTGGCAGACTGTCAGGTTCAATATTCATAATAATCCATAACCCTGTGTTGTTAACAGCAGCACAAGAACTGAATTGAAGGCAATAAAAATGCTTATCAATATTGCCACGCAATGCTTAAACTGGCCAATAAGTGATCCAGCTATTAGTATGCAAATAATGAGGAAGGTGTGTGGACAGGTTTCAGTAACAACCAAGAAGCTGATGGACAAGAAGAGTTTGGGGAATTGTTTTTGACTCCTTAATTAATACAAATGCCAGTTCCAAAGGTAAGAGGAGAAGGTGTATCTTGAGACGGGATGTCGAAGCAATTACCATACTGTTGACTTCAACACAGTGGTCTGAAAGTTAAAGTTTCTCTTTTCAGCAGACACAAAACCACACCAATTATTTTGCTTGTGGCCCACATGGTGACATAGCTCTCTTCCATTTATATCCTTTGAATTTGAATTATAACAAAAATTAATTCATCTCTTAATTATTCATTTAGGAATTGCTTTATTGGATTCCCAGGAGTAGTATCTTAGGAATGTCTTTTCTTAATCAGATATTTAGAATGAAAGAAGAGTGAAGGTTTGGGTTCCTTTGTGAGACTACTGAGAATTTAGATTCAAATGGATGCGCAAGTAAGACAAACCTGTAATTTGTGCCATAACTTTCCCTACTAGCAAAAATAAGCTTCCAAACATGGGCTATTTTTTAAATATATTCTTGGCATCAATATCTTAAAATTCACAGTCTTTGAAAGTTAACATTGAAATAGCAATACTAAAAATATCAATCAAAAGCATGAAAAAATAATGTAGGCCTCCAACATGAATCTCAAATGCAAATGGAATAATTATGCTTCTTTACTTATCTTGAAAATAATACAGATAAAAAACCCAAAGGAAATCTGTCAGCCTTTGAAGTACCTAGTTTTGCCTTCAGTGAAGAAATAACTGGCACGTAGCATCTTCAATGTTCAAAAAAGCTTGTTTTATTCTGAATTAGCCACATTGAGATTTGAGTATGTGCTGGCCAAGCTGAAAGTTCACATTTGCTTATTTATTTGTTTATTAAGTCTTAATTGCTGTATGTTGAAAGAATTCCGGGCAGCATACCAAAGTGCAAATAAAAACTGTCCACCACTTAGAGAACTATACTTTCAAGCAGTTTTTCTTATAATGCGTTTATAAATGCAGGGATATCAGTTTTACCTGGTAGGCCAGGCCAAATCAGTTAGCAGGCCCACTGATTTCCAGCTCCAAAAAATGCACATTAAAGAACAGCAGCCAAGGTCAATTGAGAGATAACAGTATTTGGAGTACAACTTTCAGGAGAAAAAAAAAAGGAACTGCTCTCTTCTAAAGCGAACAGTAAGCTCCAAGAAGCTTTACTAGACCCAAGCAATTGTCTGCAACTCTGATGTTGTTCCCCTTTCGCATCATAAGTGATTTTGTAGACTAAGCACTTTCTCAATTCCCAGTAATTCATTAGTCTCTTTGTCCATCTCTAACCCTAGTGTTTCCTATTTGGAAAAAAAATGTATGTTATCAGATAGAAGAGGATTTCTTGTGCTGTTTTACTTGAACTGAGTTACCAGAATAGGTACTTAGTTTGAACCTCCTTTTGAGTGCATGTAGCAGCAATCGTGCCTACTAAAAATAAATCCCTGAATGCTTCATGTAACTGTGCATTCCAAGATTCTTAATGTAAAGTAAAGGGAAAAAAATGCTACAATAACACCCAGATTTTACAATATTCCTCTTATGTCTTAACTTGCTAATACAAGTTGGGACTGGTCCTGAATACTCATTATTTTTATTTTCCTTTTAGAGAACATCCATTCTTTTATCTCGATTTGGGGACTGAACAATTACACCTCTAAACTGGAGTATTCCAAAGAGGGCAAGGTGACCCAATATGAAAGTCACGAACTAATGGTGATGCTAGAAAAATATTAAGCATAAGAGCAACACGCATGAAGGGAACTCTTAAGCATAATAGGGAACTCTTCCTTTTTCTTCTCAAACAGGCATATTAGCATTAACTGTTCTGCTCTATTCTCAGTACAACAGATTCAGAGAAGATTCAGTCCAAGTACTGGATTTATGCCTGTGGGATGGACCTTCAGAATATGTAGAATGAAGTATCGTTGAAAGATTCCCAGCCAGCCTCATACAGAAATATGTATATCGGCTCATTTTAGAAGCTCATGTGCCAATCGGTATAATGCTGTCCTTTCTGATTACCCATATTTCAGTCCAAATAGGAAATTGAAAACTATTCTATTTTACCGCCTGAATAGTGAAATACACCTAGCTTCCTGAAACCAAATAATATTTTAAACATTTTTATTTGCCATTAAAGAATTGCATTAATTTTGAATATAAAACCAGTTGTGGTTAAGGATATAGTTCCATTTCCCAGTAAAAATATTGAGATTTTTTTTTTTTAAAGAAAATAGTTCTTTAAAGGTCACTGGTTTTATAACTTATTCTCGATCTCTTAAATAAAATGAATAATGATCAGATATCTCACAGGGTTCACGGAATGGAAGAATATACAAACGGTAATGTATTGCATCTGACATCCTTGTTTTTAAAAATATTTAATCTGGCAATCAAACTGCTGGAGCAGGACTATAGGCAGCTGTATAGTATTTTAACATGTTAAATAGATAAAGTCATGTTGAAAGAAACCAGATCAAGAGGACAAGATCATGACACTTTTTTGTGGGCTCAAAACATGGCTGCATGTGTAATTCTCATTTCCGCTAAAGCCAGCATGTTTGACCAACATAGTTCTGAACCCAGTTCTGAAAAAGATGTTCCTCCTCCCTCAAAGAGAAAATCATATAGTTGGCCAACAGCTTTATTTTCTGTTGGACCTCTCTAGGCAGAGCTAAGCTGGTCATTAAATCAGCTTAGAATTTTATAACTTTAAGATAATTCAAGCTGCATGGCATACACAGATATGTGATAGTTCCAATGGTCTTGGTCATTTGCATCATTTGTATGAAGATGGCACAGGTAACCTCACCTGCCCTCCTTACAGGCATCCATGATGCCATATGATAATTCTCCTTAAGTCTTCACCAGCAGAATGCAATGAAGGGAATCAATATAGATTTCTGAAGTTATTAACATATGGAAGACAGGTGAGGAAAACCTCCTGTACTCAAATAAATGCACGTGTATAAAGTACCAGAAGATGTAGAAGATTTTTCAGGAACAGTGGGAAACCAGAGAATAAAAGAAAAACTGACTACTATTGAGTTGCGAAAGAAAGAGAAGTGAATGAAGCGGAAACGGTGTGCTTACCAGTTCCCACTGTTCGGGCCAGAGAGGTCACTGCAATGCAGTTCATTTCCTCTTCCACTCTGTAACTTCAGGACTTTGAAGAACGCTGTAGGGATATAATCAGTCTTCCATAGGCTGTGGGGAGAAACCAGAGAGAAGTTACTCATTCATCCTCCAATAATACACCCATCCTCACTTTTAATTTGTATTTCATTGTAATGATACAGACCATTATTTCTTTGAAATTACATTCACTACTCATAGTTATTTTTTTTTTTAAGTCATAAAACCATATTAGCTAACTATCTGCCAGGTCCTATATGCGACCTGCTTTCACATATAAAGTCTAGCATTTTTTAAATTTATCCTGCATTTCCTGATTGGGGAGGATTGCTCAGCTACCATTGGAATATTAATTTGTCAAAGAACAATTGAAAGACTCACCATTTGATAGTCAGACGTGCTCCCCTTTCATATTAAATAATACTGGGGCTTTTTTTCCCTTTCCCTGTCATCAGCTACTGCTATTCTGAATTTTGCATACGGCTATGTTTTCAGTGTGAACTCTGAACTGAAATGCTGGTTTTGAAACGATGCCATCCAGGGTTAGTGCTGCTGAGGTTTCAAGGCCACTTGGCTGCTCTGGAATACTAACCCCCTGACAACAAACTCAGAATGTTAATTGTGTAAACATGTCTTTTAATCGTGTGAGCAATGCCAATTAAATGATGGGGTATCTTCTGCAAAGGCCCTTCTGCTGAGTAAATCTTTTTGACAAACTAGAACAAAGGAATCTTAGATGCCTAGTTATGGCACATAAAGCTGGAATCTGGGGTCCTCACTTTCTGCTTTCTTTGACTGTAACGATTACTTCAGGTGAAATATTTCTTTTTGTGTTACCAAACCTCTCTTATCAGGAAAGTTAATTTTCAGTGAAAAACCGAGAGATCTACAGAGAGCTTCCTTTTTGCTTAAGCTCAGTAGTTTGGAAGGTAAATCAGGTGGCCTTTTTGTTATATTTGGACATAATTAAATGACATTTGCAGACGTTACTGTCTCTTCATTGGGTGCACATCCTGCTGCATTTCAAGCAGATTGATAAGGTCAAAAATTTCACTTTGCATGCAAGAAATTTGAAGTGGGGAAGTTCCAAAAACAATTAATCTTCACCTTTGCCCATATTTTGAATTGAAGATACCCCCCCCCCCGCAATCTTCCTAATAGCTTCCCACAATCTTCTCTCCCTCCTAGTATTTAATGGGCAAATGAAAGTTAAATGTAGCTTTAACTGGAAACACAGTGTCTGTTTTTCACAAAGGACAAATCATACACAAAGTTCCCTAACAGACTCAATGTGGTTCACATCACTTGATCCTCTAAGATCTGCAGAATCAGTTGCAAGTATCCAGACTCAATCTGGGATTTGGTGGACCTCCATGTATTGACCCAGAACTAAGAGTCACAAGATATGACGAGGGGCCACCAACTTGAGCAACTTTAAAATAAGGTTTATGAAGGACAGGACTAGCACTGGCTGTTAGTTGTAGTCTCAGAACCAGTATTACTGTATTTGGTAATCATTTTGGGAGACTTTGTCCTTCTGGCCTCCTATAAGTTTCCACAAACAAGATATGTGGGGATCAGTTGCTGGACTACATAGGCCTTTGTTTTGACCCACTATATCTCCCTTTATTCTCAGGAGGAGAGGGTTCATACAGGAAGAAATTTCTGTCTGTGGCCTGGATAATGGAAGGGGGGTGACTTTACTGAGCCCTTCATATCTTGAAAGAGCCATTGTAAAATTTATAATTTAAATGAATCAGCAATCTTGTAGAATGGATATTATGTATTGCATACAGGATATAAAATAAAAGTAATATCCACTATGTATTTATAGATGGTTTTCTATCTTATTTAGAGATGGTTCTTTATTAAATATACATTACATTAGGGACATCTTATATCCCTTTATTATGGGTAAATACTTCTGTTAAGTATACAAGGTATATATTAAATGACACTTCATCAAATAACTAATGCCACAAAATCTTAACAATTATTTGATATCAAATCCTGAGATCTCCAGAATGGGAGGAGGGAAGTTGCTAATTTTTTAAAGTTCAATTCATATAGTTATTGATATGCAATTTTATTAGCTTGTGAAGACTTCTATATTGCTGAATTAATAGCATCACTTATGTTTTATTTTACATTTCTGGTTGTTATTAATAATTGAATGTATAGTCATTTGTCTAAGATCTCAAGATGATGTATATGATTCTTCCCCTTTTATCTTTATATCCTTGTACCTGACTAGCTCTTGGCAACTGGTGCCTAGGTGAACAATTAGATTGGCACCCCTGAACTATCATGGTATTTTTTTTTCCCCTTGAAATTTAGCAATGTATTAACTTGATGTCCTAGGAAACTGCCTAGTTTACCTATGTGGACAAGCTACCTCCACTTCTTAGAACACCATAACTAGATGAATCTGACAAAGATATTTACTGGGTCTCCTAGATCAGTCTGTGCATCATGGTGGTTCTTGAGAAAGAGCTGAGAATGTGATGTTTCATAAAAGTTAAAGAAATTAAAATATTAAAGGATCAGCAAATATTTGGTGTTCGAATTCATGGATGAATATTTTGAGAAGAATATATTGGGCAAAAAAATTTAGCTGTAAATTTAAGATTTAGTTTACACAGAGTTTTTACAAAAGAAGAAACTATATGCCATAGCATATGCCTGTCTATTCTAGAAGCCAGTATTAAATCTTAGCAAGATAAACAACAGCCTTTATTTGACTTTGCTGAGCATTGGACAAAGTCCAAAATCACTTTTTCCCCTATAACCAATACCATTATGCATAATTTAAAAAAAAATGTATGACAAGTGCAGTTTTAGGGAAGTTACTCCCAACAAGAGTAAAGGAGTGGCTTTCCAACAATATCCCTGTAGTAATTTTACCTTGCATAGGCTGCAATCTATTATCATTTCTCGGATTGTGGAAATATCTGAAAGGATCATTTTTAGAGCACAGAAATCATCTTTAAAACATTTTTAGTAGACTGGTGTTAATGCTTTACCATTCCACTGTAAGAATAAATCAAACTATGCTTATCTCATTAAAAAAAAAAGATTAAGGTGGTGATGGGTAAATCACTTTACACCCTGTTACTGTATATTTCTATTATTTGGAATATGAGGAGAGGAAAGAATAGCAAATCCAAAGAGGAATTTGCGCTTTTGATTGAATCATTTGTTTGTGTGTGCAAGTCTAGCTAAATGGCTCTTAAAACAGGAGGAGGGGGGATTGAGAGTTAGATTTTTGTTGTTGTTTAGTCGTTAAGTCGTGTCCGACTCTTCGTGACCCCATGAACCATATTGCGCCAGGCCTTCCTGTCCTTCACTGCCTCCCTGAGTTTGCTCAGTTTCATGCTCAT